AGTGGCGGGCGGCTCCAGGGGCGGCTGCTGCAGTGGCGGGCGACTCCAGGGGCGGCTGCTGCAGTGGCGGGCGGCTCCAGGGGCGGCTGCTGCAGGGGCGGCTGCTCCAGGGGCGGCTGCTGCTGTGGCGGGCGACTCCAGGGGCGGCTGCTGCAGGGGCGGCTGCTCCAGGGGCGGCTGCTGCTGTGGCGGGCGACTCCAGGGGCGGCTGCTGCAGTGGCGGGCGACTCCAGGGGCGGCTGCTGCAGTGGCGGGCGACTCCAGGGGCGGCTGCTGCAGTGGCGGGCGGCTCCAGGGGCGGCTGCTGCAGGGGCGGCTGCTGCTGTAGCGGGCGGCTCGAGGCGCGGGCTGGCCTGGCGCAGCCCGTACGGGCCGCGCGCGGGCCTGGCGCAGCCCGTACGGGCCGCGCGCGGGCCTGGCGCAGCCCGTACGGGCCGCGCGCGGGCCTGGCGCAGCCCGTACGGGCCGCGCGCGGGCCCGACGTAGGTCGCGGGGGCCACGACGGGCGACGGGGGGCGACGCGCGGGTCCCCGTCGCCCGTCGCAGCGCCTCCCGGGGGCGACGCGCGGAGTGACGGGGCAGAAAGCCGCCGCGCGCCTCGGGGCGCACGGCGGGCAGAAAACCGCCGCACGCTCCGAGCGCGCGGCGGGATGAAAAAAAAAAAAAAAATCCGTCGCACGCCTCGGGGCGTGCAACACACAGAGTAGCAGTAGCAGCGGAAGCAGTAAGGTGGTGGGCCCATTGAGGTAAGCGGCAGGAACGTGCTCGCTCAGATACCATGTCAGAATACTAGGAGTGGGGCCTAGGCTTAGTAGCCTAGGCCCACACATAGAGTAGGTAGGTTGTGCCCTAGAGCTAGGGTTTGGGGTATACGAAGGAGAATTGGAGAAGTGAGAATGGGAATGATCCGTTGAACTAGCAAGCAGCAGCAGGATCCCTAAGGGGTTGTACTCACTATTGAGCACCCCACTGCAGGCTAGACAAATAACATAATCTGACAGCAGACGCAGACGCGGACGCAGCTACCTGAGGGGACTCAGTGGTCAGTGTGTACAGGTCCGACCCCGGCTGCCGAGTGAAGGTAGCCAGGTGACGGCCCGTCCGAGCACACGTGCAGTGGGTCACGCGCTCGTAAGCAGGGGTGAACTGGTGAACACCCCCGTCCTGGAGCGCACTACCTGCCACCAAGTTCGTAGAGAACGAGGGGAGGTAGAGACCTGACAGTGTGCCTGACGGGACCGCAGGACAAGGAAGGACAGTGGAGGAGGTCGCAACGACCGGACCCCCAGAGGGGTCAGCGAGGGAGACAGCAACTGGCCGAGCAAGCGGCTCAAGGACAGTGCGGTCACGAAAGAAACAGCGAGAAGCACCTGAGTCCAGTGTGAAGGTGTGCAGTGCTGCAGTCGACTCAGTACCAGAGGGCACGGACTCACTAGCACCTAGAGCAGCAGCCTCACCAGGACCTGGGGCAGCAGACTCACTAGCACCTAGAGCGGCAGCCGGACTGGTCTGAATGCCCGGGTCGGGCGGAACACGCAAGTACTGAGCACCCTCTCCACTAGTAAACATCGCATACATGGCAGTGAGAATAGCATCAAAGTCTAAAGCCCAGATATCAACTCCCTTCTTCTCCAGATCAGCCCAGCGGGGCAGCTCAGTGGCATCAGGAAACTGGGCACGCCACGCGTCAGTAAGGCGCGCGAAACAGCGCTGTGTGGGATGCGGCCTCCCACACTGCTGGCCAGTGCGGTCACCAGTGCGAATGACGTACGTGCAGGTAAAGCCACGCTGCGCATACCACTCACGGGCGGCCTGAAGCGACGGGGCGGGCTGCTGACTCTGGCCACCGCCAGCGCCTCCACGACCACCACTGCCGCCGCCACCGCCTCGGCCACCTCCACCCCTGCCGCTGCCACGACCACCTCCGCCTCCGCTGCCGCCTCCACCCCTGCCGCCACTCCCGCCGCTGCTGTCACCACCCCCACTGCCGCCACTAGCCTCCCCAGCCGCTCCTCCACTCCCACCGCCTCCACCCCCACCTCCTCCGCCGCCACCTCCACCCTTGCCCCCTTTGCTCTTGCGGCGCCCGCTCGAAGCAGACGCGGCCCCGACCTTCTCAGCACCAAGGAGGTCGACAGCAGCAGCAGAGGCGACAGAGGGGAGGAGAGGGGAAGGGGAACACCCCTCAAAGAACGGGGTGCGGGGGTCGCCACGAGAGGTACCTACAGCGACGATGCTCGCCTCAGCTGCAAGCAGTTCCTTCTCGAGGAGGGCAATGGTGAGTTCAGTGGGGGAGCGAGAGAGGAAGTGGTCCCTGACTGTGCGCAGGGAGTCGGGGAGGCGGGTGACTATGTGCAGGCCTGCGGGGCCGCTGCGGGCTGCGCTATAGCGGTGCGAGCGGCGCACGGGCGGCTAGCCGGTCGCGCTCAAAAGAAATCGGCCGCGCGCGGGCAGCTAGCGGGTCGCGCGCGGTTAAAAAAAAAAAAAAAAAAAATAGAAAACGAGCCGCGCGCGATTGGCTGGCGGGCTGCGCGCGCGCGGTAGGTAGGAGGCGCACTGGGGCGCGTAGGCGCACGAGGGCGCACGGTAGGTAGGTAGGTAGGTAGGTAGGTAGCGGTGGGCCCTAAGAACGGTCCTAGCGAAGGACCTGCTCTGAAACCATGTCGGAATCAACAGACAGGAATGATTGAACTAGCAGTGAAATCAGTACAAGTACCTAACCCTAGAATTGTGTACCCCCTATAGGCTAACCCACTGTAGCCTAAACAAACACAACATATATAATGTTTGACATATTTATATGCGAAACATGCAAACGGTAACGCGGTGTGTGCGAGCTAGCTAGTGCTACGCTGGCAGCGAGGCTCGGGCTAGTCCCGAAGCGTAGGCCGACAGGGCCGGACCAGCGGTGCACGGTTTGGTGAAACAGTGCACGCGAAGTTGGCGAAGCCCTGTTGGCAGTAACGGTTGAACAACAGCTGCTGCGGTACGCGATGTTGCAGGTCGCGAAAAGGAATGACGAGAAAATTTCTTACATGTGTACTATGTCCACTAATTTTTAGAACTTGACGCATGAAGTTCAAATAAAAGATTCGTAGGAGGTCCCAATACATGTATTAAGCATGATGTGTATGTTACTTAATTTGGTCAGAAATTTTAACTCTGGCGCTACTGTGTGTCCCTATCAAGTTCATCTTGACCGGTCAGCAACATACTTGTCGCAAAGATGATATTAGTTGAGTATGTAAAATGTAGATAGCATTGAGTATAAGCCTGCTAATGGAAAATACACCAATATTCTGAGATACTCGTCCTATGCACAGTGGTCACCACGTTACAAGGCTAATAGCGAAGGTCTTAGGGCGTGACGGGGACTCTTCGAGGAAGTGTCCCTTGAATTTTGTTGGGAAACTATATCCTAGATCCTTGATTTCAGATTTCTCTCATATTTACCCCCAGGTTTACTCGAAAGGTCCCACTTTCTGGGATTTGGCTCACGCGAGGCCCAAATTATGTTCAAAACTGGTCCTGTAGGGCTCAAATATTGACACGTGTCTATTTCACACCAACAATTTTTGACGGGGCACAAAAACAATAATACCCCTGGGGAAACCAGGACACTTGTTCGGGAGGGATCAACCCTAAACACGGGAACCCGCCCGGTGTTTAGGGTTGATCCCTCCCGAAATGTATCCCGCGGGCAAAAATTAAACCCCTTGGCTTACGGCATGCCATTCGGGAGCATCAACCCTAAAATTTTAGGGTTGAGGCTCCCTCGGATGGCATCCCATCCGAGAGGGTTTTAGCTTTTTTTCTTGCCCGCGGTCAGCTTGCTGACTCGATTGCACTGCCTGCTTACGCAGGCAGTGCAATATATTACCCAAATTGTGTCCCGTTTCCCCAGGGGTATTATGTTTGGTTTGTCCCGTATAAAAAACCTTGCACGAAATCGACACGTGTCGTAATTTCTGCCCCGCAGGACCAGTTTTGAACATACTTTGGGCCTCGCGTGAGCAGAATTCCGCAAAGCTGGACTTTTTGGGTAAACTCGGGATCAAAATTGAGATATTTTTGAAACTGTGGAGCTGCGATGTACTTTCCCAATTTTGTTCGTTGGTGGGAGGGAGGGAACTGGGTATCTTGTGCGCTGCGCGCCTCCGCAGTGGGACCTGTACGTGTGCCTGGCCCCCAAGTTCCTTCGGATCCAACTGTCAGTGCACTCGCGCTGCGACTTTCTGCGACAAGAGAGCTGACGGTCAAACAGTGGAGCTCGGTCTCTCTGTCCTAATGCGCTGGAGACCTAGTGCCCCATGCGAAGGGCTCTTTGTTGGACGAACGTCGTCAGTCGCCTGCCCACACGACCACCATCAAATTCGCCTTTCGCCCTGGCTTCGAACAATTTCGCCAAGACACACTGGCCCTCCGGAATCCGCGATTCGGAGAGGTGCTCCAGGGTGGGTTCTGCTAACATTTTGGGACTAGCTCGACGCGACACGGTTTCTGCTGAAACCAAATTCGGGTCTTTCCCACCACCACCCAAAGAGAACCAACGTCATGCCCTTGACCAAATGACAATTCTCTTTCTCAATACCGAAATCACTGCATGTTGCCAGTGTTTGATCTCGAGAAGTGAGCCGCGGCAGTAATGCTTCTTTCAAACATGAGACTCCCGTGTAGCTGTCGTATGGAATCGTGAGGGTGTAAGTCGACGAGCAGTCCGTCGGTCCAGAAGGTGGAATGGAGGCGTTAATTAACTTAACTCGACGCCCGTCGGCGTAGGATAAATTCGACGCCCGACACCCATCGTGTCGCGTCGCGCGAATACGCCACTACTAGTAGAACAATTTCATAGCCACCTCAAAACGTTTACGAAGTCAAAATTAGCGCGAATTTTTCAGGCCCTTGCAACTAAGCCCTCCTTCTCAACTGACTACCTTGTACGCAAACGCACACGCGGTCGCCTACATCGCTGCCTACTCCTACAGCGTTTGACCGCAGCCATGCCTCCGGGAAGCGGGAGCGCACTCAGCGCGGGCGCTTGGCCTGGCATCACAGTCTCCGCACCCATCCCAACCGCATCCGAACCCACACATGTACCTGCCTCGAGCGACTCCTCCGCCTCTACCACCCCCCCACATCTCACCCATGAACCGTTTCCGCTCATCGCCCCGAGCGCAATTTCCTCTCCCACCCATTCCTTCCGCGTGTTCCCGACGTCGACGGCGCCTCCGGACCGCCATGTCAACGCTGCGTACGAATTCGTGTCGCAGATCGGCGAGGGGCGACACGGCACCGTATGGCTTGTGGAAGACCGCGTCTCGGGAGCGACGTACGCATGCAAGAAGATCAGCAAGCGCGGGCTCGAGTCACCATGGGACCGCGACGAGGTAAGGCGCGAGGTGGCGGTGATGCGCGTGCTGGCGGGACGGCACGGCGGCGTGGTGCGGCTCCAGGAGGTATTGGAGGATAACGAGGCGGTGTACTTAATTATGGAGCACTGCGAGGGCGGCGAGCTGTTCGATAAGATCGTGGGCGACGGGCGGCTGCACCCGCTGGAGGCGGCGCACCTGTTCCGCCAGCTGGTTTCCGCCGTGCAGTTCTGCCACGCGCAAGGCGTGCTGCACCGCGACCTCAAGCCCGAGAACATCCTGCTCACGCGATCCGCGGGACTCGACGGGAGGAACGCGCGGGGACTGCAGCCGCAGCAGCAGCAGCAGGAGACAAGCCCGAACGCGAGGGATCAGGCGCAACGGACACCGCGGTGGCAGCAGGTGAAACAGCAGGAGCAGCAGGAGGAGCAGCACAGAAAGGAGGAGAGGGAGGAAGAGGGACGGAAGGATGGCAAATCCAACGCAAGGGGAGGCGAAGAGGCTATGCCATTGACGGCACAACAATTCAACATCGAACGGCCAACAGAGTCCAATAATACCGTGAATTCCGGTAAAAAGGTGCCCGTATCGGCTGTCCCTGCTGCTGGCAGTCAGAATAAATCCGGCGACTCACAGAACATCCGCTGGCCAGTGCAGCAAGGCGGCGCCGCTGGCGGCGGAGTAACCGCAGCCGCCAAATCCGCCGCGAGGTCTGCCGCGGCCGTCGGCGGGGCCACGACCCGCGCGGTGGGGAAGGCGCTCACGGGGCTGGGCGCGCGGAGTGCGAGTCAACGCTCCCTGCTGCAGTGGCACGTGCGGCTCGCGGACTTCGGATTCGCCGTGTTTCTAGCTCCGGGAGAAAAGACGTCCGACGTGGCAGGCAGCCGGCTGTACGAGGCGCCTGAGCTGATCCGATTCGAGCCGTTCGACTTTAAAGCCGACATCTGGTCGCTGGGAGTGGTGCTGTACGCCATGCTGTCGGGCTGCCTGCCGTTCCGAGGCCGCGACGACGACGAGCTGGGCCGTCGGATCGTGGAGGGGCGCCTCAATCTGACGTCCAAGCCGTGGCCCTCCGTGCCGGGCGATGCGAAGCGACTGGTCGCGCGAATGCTTCAGGTACGACATGCGCAAGAGGAGTAGGAAAATGCTCAATAAAAACGCGGTCATAGCCGGCTTTTACGGTTTTCTTTTATAACTTTTTTTCTAGCCTTACTTGCTTGTGTCAACTCACTCCAAATGCACGTTAATTCTTTCCTCCTAGCCAATCCAACCCCCACCCCCCATCTCCCTCCCCCGGTGTTGCGCGGCACCAGGTGGAGGCGGGGCGGCGGCCGTCAGCGGAGGAGGTGCTGAACGACGCGTGGGTGGTGCGGCACTTCGGCGTGGCGGCGCCCGCCAGGCGACTCGGCCCCATCCCGCCGCCCTCGCTGCTGTTCGAGCTCGAGGAGCAACCGCCGTGCGGCTCGCCTGCCGCTGCCACTGCCCCTGCTCTTCCGCTTCCTCCTGCTACTGCTGCTGCAACTGCTTCTCCAGCGGCTGCTGTTGACGTCGTGTCGAGCGCGGACGAGGCGAGCAGTCAATTGAAGGAGTCATCCAATGCGGACGCAGCGGAGCGCGCGGAGGTCGACGCAACACCAGCTGCCGCGCCGCATGCTGCTGTTGGCGGCACTTCGGCACCTGTGGTGTGTGCGGGAACGGCGCAGGCAGCAACGACAGAGGAGTGCACCTCCGCAGCAGCACCAGCCGCAGCAGCAGCATCACAAGCAGCAGCGTCATTATTGGTAACAGTAATAGCAGCAGCTGTTGTGCCGCCGGAACAGACGGCGGCATCCGGAGCGGGCGGAGAAGCGTCAGCGATTGCAGCGCCCTTGCCAGGTAGTGCCACCCCTTCTCCACGACCTGCGATCACCGCTGGTCCGCACCGAACGGCTCCGGGCCTCTCCGCCTCACCGTCTCGGCCGCCTGTTCCTCCCAGTGCCGCACCTGCTTCGTCTGCTGTGGCCGCTGCGACTGCTGTCGCTGGTGGCGGTGCTTCAGCTGTCATAACCACGGAACTCGCTGCCGGTTCTGACAGCAAACCCGCTTGCACGGTTGTTGCTGCGAGTGAGACGACGGCGACGGCAACGGCAGCTGATGCTGACGCAGAGGAGTTTCTGCCAACTAGCACCCCTGGTGCTACTTCCCTGGAAACGCCACCTCACGTCGCTGCTCACCACTCTTCCGCCTCTCCCGTTGCCGCCACTCCTCCTTCCGACCTGTCCTGCTCCGCGCATGGTGAGCGCAGCGGTGGCTGTGGGGGGATGCTGGTGGGGGACGGGAAGCACGTGGTGGTAGACGGCACGACAGGAGCAGCTGTGGTTGTGCGACTGGCGGGTGCCGCGGATGGTGCGGGGGAGAGCAGAGCGAGAGACGAGGCGGAGGGAGAGGAGGAGGGAGCGCCGCAACCAGCAGCAGCGACAGACGTGTCAGCAGCAGACGCATCAGCAGCAGTGGTTACGGAGAATGAGGGCAGTGAGAGCAAGGGGAGGAGAAGCGCGGAAGCAGTGCCGCCCAGTCGCATACCCCGAGCTTCAGGCCTGCCCTGGGCGATCCCGTCGCCGCGCCACCGCAGCGAGCGCGAGAGCAGCAGCGAGTGCAGCAACGCGTGCGCGCAGGAGAGTGTTGGTGGCGCGCGCGCAGGCTCCGCGCATGGCGGAGGCGTGGCGTGCGGGGGGGGTTCGCTGGTGCACGGGGCTGGCAGCGCGGAGAGCCAGGCGTCTGTAGCCACTCCGTGCAAGCGACAACGGATGCTGCCCCAATGTGTCTCTCACACGCCGACATCAGGCGCAGCAGCGGGTGCCTCGGGCGCTGGAGCAGGAGCAGGGAGCAAGGTTGGGGCTAAAGCGAAGGAGGCAGGTGGTTCGGCTGTAGGGACGGTGAAGGGGAAGCGACGCGCGGCTGCTGCTGCGGCGCCGGATGCGGCCGTCGCTGCTGCCGTCGCCCGGGCCAAGCGGCGAGCCGAGGCGGCGATTGCGGCGCGGGAGAAACGCGCGAGTGAGGCGGCCAAGGGGGTCGCGAGCAAGAGCAAGAGCAGGAGCGCGGACAGCAACGCGGAAAGGCAGAGAGTGAGCAGCGCGTGCGGGAGAAAGGCGCCGGTGTCAGCGTGGCTGCCAGTGGCGGAGAAGAGGGGGAGCGCGCGCAAGGAGAAGGGGTCGCCGTGCCTCTCCAGTGCCGCTTCCACCACCAGCACCGCCACAACCGCTACAACCGCCACCACCGGCACCACCGCTACCACCGCCACGTCAGCAACAACGGCAATCACGGGGCATGCACGGACCATTTCGTCTGCGACAACCTCTGCTTGCTCGTCTTCGTCCTGGTACTCGTCGTCCTCCCCCTCCTCCTCCCCCACCTCTTCGCCCTCCCTCGCCCAACCCCCGCTTCCAGCGGCAGCCGTGCCTGCGCTCTGGCCGTCCCTTCCCGCGCCGTCCGCAGGGACGGCGCGAGCCGCGGGTGCAGGCGCAGGGAGAGGACGAGCAGGAGCCGGGGGAGGAGGAGGAGGAGGGGCGGGAGGGATGGGAGGGGCGGGAAGGAAAGCAAGCAGCGGGAGGGGGGCTGGTGGGGGTGCGGGGATGGGGGCGGGGGGCTTGCCTCCGTTGCCTGGCTCGCCTGCGCCCTCCTCCACGTCCTCAGGCAATGTGCCTGGCACGAGTAGGTGGAATAGGGGCTCCGCTGCTGCTGCTGCGGGTGCTGCGGGTGCTGCAGGTGCAAGGGACAGTGAAGGAGCAGCGGGAGGATGTGCGCGCGTGGGAGGAGGTTTTAGGATGGCTGGGGTGGGAGCCGGGGAAGGGAAGGGCAGAGGTGCTGGCGTGCTGGCAGACGGGAGACAGAGGCGCGGAGCAGCAACGGCTGCTGGCGGCGCTGCTGCTGCCGCTGCTCCTGCTCTGGCGGCTAACCGGTGTGGCAATGTTCCTGTTGCTGCGCCAGGTGCTTTATGTGAGAAGACAGTTGGGTTGCAGGAGAGTGCGCAGACAGGCAGGGTAGCAGCAGGCACCTCTGGGAGGAAACGGTGGGAGTTGAGTAACTGTGGTGGTGGTGATGCTGCTGCTGCTGCTCCCGCAAGATCGGCAGCGGCGTGTGGCAGGAGCGGCGAGAGTCGCAGTGGCATGAGTGCTAGCAGCAGCGGTAAGAGCAGCAGGAGCAGTGGGAGCAGCCAGGGCGTGCGCGCGCCTTTGAGTGTGCAGAAGGCCGTTTCAAGGTCCATGATGCATACAGAGGAGGAGGAAGATGGGGAGGGAAGTGATGAGGAGAAAGAGGAAGGAGAGGAGGAGGGGGAGGGTGATGATGAGTCAAGTGACGGAGAGTATGTGAGCTATGGGGAAGGTGGAGGAGGAGGAGGAGGAGGAGGATGAGGAGGAGGAGGAGGAGGAGGAGGAGGAGGAAGAGGAAGAGGAGGAAGAGGAGGAAGAGGAGAGTGAGGAAGAGTCTGGGTTAGTGGAGGAGGATGTGTTTGAGGATTCTGTGGAATCAAGCCTTGATGGTTCCAAGGAGGGGGAAGGGGAGAGTGAGGAAGTGGAGGAGAGCGAGGAGGAAGAGGAAGAGAGTGGGGCGGAAGAAAGTGAGGAGGAGAGTAGGTTGGCAGCAGAAAGCTGCGAAACGGAGCAGGAGACAGAGGAGGACAAGGAGTCGAAGGAAAACTGTGGAGTGGAAGAGGAGGGAGGTGGATCGATCGGGAGTGAGGAGGAGGTTGCAACAGTGGATGCTACAATAGGGGACTCAACGCACATCTTTACAGATATAGACGAGTCAGTTGCGGGAAGAGGAGGTGCAAGTGAGGCGTGCAGAGAGGCATTGGAGCAGGAGGAAAGAGTGAGGGAGGTACAGGCGATGTTGGATGAGAGGAAGCGGAGTGAGAAGCGTCGTAGCAGGCGGAGCAAGCTAGTGGCACGGTCCCTGTGGAAGCATGATATGATGGAACTGCGGCGCATGGACCGAGTGGCAGAGGATGGGGATGATGATGATGTTGTCGTGATTGCTGATGCATGGGTTGGGGATGGGGGTGGGACTGAGACTGGGACGAGAAGGAAAGGGCAGGGAGGGGAGGGTGGGATGGGCCAGGTGTGCAGGTTGGAAGAGTGGAGCTGCAAGGAGGGAGAGGGCAAGAGTTGGAGGAGAAGGGACGGGAAGAGGAAATCTCTATTCTCAAGACTGTTCTCATGCTTTGGGTGTTTCTCACCGCCCTCTGCAGATGTACATCCGAGCTGTAGCTCTTGAAGGCACTCCTGCAGGGTGTTGGACTAGTGAAATAGAAGCCCATTGTAGAATTCTCATCTTTCTGTAGGATTTGTATTTTTTGCTCAAGGCAAACCACGTGCCCTACTTCTTGTGTTTGAAAGAAAGTGAGAAGCAGCTCAACCAATGACGTTGGTAAAAGGCTTTGCTGGTGGATGGATGGATGGTGGTGGATCATGCATTTATTTCCTGGTTCACCTGCCGCTTTATTGAACCTAGCAAATGGCGTTGCACCGTGCTGTAACTCCTTGTCGCTATTTCTTTTTAAATGGAGCACCGTACCGAACCTACGTCAAATGTCGTAGTGGACGTTCTGCTTCAGATGGCTCATTATGGCTGGCACGCGCAGCGCGACAACCAGCAAGTTGCTGTTGTGTGTGACTCACGCAGATAACTAGGATTCCAGCTACGTATTACAGGCGCTACGGTAGCTACTGATGGCTGTGAGTTACTTGCCCCGCGGGTGCAACCCGACAGGCGTCGCGCTTTGCCTTGCCTCACACCACTCCACGATTCCCTTTCTCGCATTGACTTCTTCTCCGCACCTTGTTTATCTCGTCACGTCACCTCTCCTTTCCCCGCGCATT